AAATGCAATTTCCTCCCCAAAATACCCTTTTTCCTGTAAACAACATCTCTTTAGTGAGATTACAGTGAAATCCCCGCGCTCCAGGTCCCGGGCGCTTTATCACCTGCGAGCCCATCCGTCACGGCCCGCTCCTGCGCCCCGCCCCCACCGCCGGCCACGGTCTTTTCATCATTTTTACAGATTTATTGTACAATAATTTAATTTCATCCTCAGCCCTGAGAAGACAGATTGGCCCCCGATGTGACTGGGGACTCGGCTCCGGTCTCATAAATTTGCTGCCTCGACATCAGGCTCTTTCCGGAGTTCCCTCGTCCACCGCGKAGCAGGGGCTACGAGCGGGCGGCTGGTGGCCCCGTGCGTGGTGGGGGGCACTGGCAGGGGGGTCCCTGTCCCCCCACATCGGCAGCATGGGGAGCCGTGCAGGGCGCTTGTCTGCGTGCACCGCGCTGCGTGCTGGGCTGCTGCAGGGCACGCGGGGGCCGGGGCAGGCTGCGGGAGATGCCGCGTGTGGGGAGGGTGCTCTGCCGAGGTGCTGCTGCTCGCAGGGCACGTGGGCGGCTCCAGGGAGGATTRCCAACGTAATTAAACAAGAGCGACTCCCCTGCTCCTGCACAGCCCATTGTTTCCCCTGTGGTTTATTAAGGCATCTTAATTTATTTAAATAACCTGGGTGTCTGGGGGCTGCTCCAGTCCTGGTCGTGGAGTGAGGAGAAGCAGTGGGACCCGCTCGGGTCTGCACCGCAGTGCCGGTGCTCCCGGGAGCGGGGAACTGCCCCCCGCGGTGCCAGCCCTGCTCTGTTTGCACAGCTGATTATCCCCCAATCCGCGAGCACCTTGCCTTGGCCCTGCTGCATTTCAGCCTCCTTTTTCCAGTCCATTTCTCCAATTTGTCAGGATCGTTTTGAATTCCAGTCCTGTCCTCCAGGATACATGTAGTCCCTCCCAGCGCCATGTCTTCTGCAAATTTAATAAGCATTTTCCCTATCCCGTCATGCTGGTCCTTAATGGGGACAGCRAGCAGAGCAAGTCTCGGGCAGCCCCTTCCCCGAGCAGCCGGCGGGAGCATCGCCGGGCCGAGCCGCTCGTGGCTGCTGCGGCACGAGGTCATGCCGAGACACGAGGCTGCTCCAGCAGGGCCGGGTCACACGCGCCGGGTGCCCACGTTGCTGCTGCAGCTGGGGTTGTGCCCTGTTGTGCTGTGCTTTACTGTGCTATACTGTGCCGTGCTGCGCTATACTTTGCCTTGCCACACTATACTGTGCCAAGCTATAATGTGCTGTGCCACGCTGTACTGTGTCATGCTGTGCGATACTGTGCCGTGCTATACTATGCACTGGGCTCTGCGTGTCCTGCAGGAATTCTGAGCGCAGCAAATGGCTTCTCCCTGCACCGCTCCTGGGCTCTGCCGGGAACAGGCTGCGGGGCCAGGGCTGTGGGGCTGCCCCCCGTGACGGCYGTCCCGTCCTTGCTGCAGCCACCCCTGCCGCACCAGAGGCCACGGGCAGGACCTGTGGCTGCCGGGACCGCAGGAGCCAGCGCCTCCCGCTGCCGCCTTCCCTGTCAGAGCTGCAGCCTCCTGGCCCGGAGCCGGGGGCCGGTCCTCATGATGTGTTAGTTCTGCTGGCAGTGGCGCTTCAGTAATTGCTGTCACGTCAATTAGATCCATTTGCGGATATGGCAGCAATAACTGCTCAGTGCTGGGGGCGGGAATACAGGACACAAAGTGTGCTGGCGAGTGGCCATGGGCAGCTTGGGGCCAGACATGGGGCTGGACGAGGGGTCTGGCTGGTGCTAGCTGGATGTGGTCACAGGAGAGCGTTGGGCTGCGGGTGATGGAGGGCACGGGTGCAGGGTGTCACTGCGGGCTGGCCCTACAGGTGCAGGCACAGGGTGTCACCGAGGGCCACGTCTGCAGATGCAGGGTGTCACTGAGGGCCGRCTCTGTGGGTGCAGGGTGTCACCGAGGGCCATGTCCGCAGATGCGGGTGCAGGGTGTCAYCAAGGGCCGGCTCTGCGGGYGCAGGGTGTCACCAAGGGCCGGCTCTGCAGCACAGTCTGGTTCTTGCACACGGTGCCGCCTACCCGGCCAGCATGGAGGGAGGAGGTGCGGGCAGGCACGGGGTGGCGCGGGGAACCCCGGTGCCCATGTGCCTGCCATACAGATGCTGCTGCACACGTTGGTGCTGCCTCCCTCTCCCTGCTGTGGGTTGCAGGCAAAGGTAATTTGCAGATGACAAATATCCCCGGCAGTAAATATTTTCCCGCCCTCATTTTTCTGCAGGCAGATAAGGTGCAGCCCCGTGGCAAGGTGGCTCCTGCAGGCAGACAAACTCCTCAGCCTCACCAGTCTGTCATGTCCCTGCAATTATTCCCAGATAAATAGCGGAGCTGATCCATGCCGAAGGGAGCTGTGTGGCTGCATTTGCTCTGGTCATGATGATGATGATGACGATGGTATCTCCCTGGCACCCTACCAGGGCAGGGCATTGCTTCCTGTCAGCAGGAGGAACGGGGATGTCACTGCCCACTCCAGCCTGTCCCCTCCCTCCTGCCACCCAGGTTCGGAGCCAGGCTTTTGGGAAGGAGCCGTGCGGGGGATTGGGGTACAGTGATACGGGGGGACATGATGTGCTCGGTGCTGGCCCGTGTGCCCGGCACCAGCTGCAGGTGCTGCCCAACCCTCTGCACAGCCCTGGCTCTGCTGCTGGCATTGGTACCAGGGCCACACTGCAGAGCCCAGTGATTCCGCACCCRGCTGCACAGGGACAGGGCAGGAGTAAGCGGCGAGCGTGGTCCTCGTCGGTGCAGATTCATGGGGCAGCTTCACCCATACTTGTTATTTGGGGAGAGGAGCCGTGGTGCCGCGCGCCCAGCTCCGCAGCTCTGTGTGCTCCCCTCACAGAGCCCCATGCCGCAGCACTGACCGCAGCACTGCGCGCCCAAGAGTAACTGGCTGCTCTCACCCGGGTGTCACCGTGGGGACGGCAGCGCTGACGAGGCGGCTCGTGTCCAGCACGCGGGAGCAGGTACCAGCACTGCGGTCCCACAGCCTCCTCCTACCCTACACTGAGCCCCTGCCCCACAGAGCCGGAGCCCTCGCTGCCCATGGGACCCACTGCAGGTGCCCCAGGGAGGGGAATGCTGCCCATGCTGCCGGTGCTGGGACGGTCCCGATGGGCTGCTGAGACTCTGGGCTGCATGCGGGGGAGCTGCTAACACTCTTTTATCTCTCTTATTAAACCTAACATTAGGTTTTAAGAGGCACCTTAAATAACGTGCCGCTGCTGGTACAGTAAAGCTGCTCCATGCTGCAGCTGCTCCCAGCCATGGGATTTACGACCTTCCTCATGGCCCATCGGAGGTGCCTCGGTGCAGGTGGATCCAGGGATCCTGCATCTTCCCAGCRCTCAGAGTCCATGGCCTGTGGCTGTGCCAGGGGTCTCCTGCCTTTCCTCCTCTCTTGGGCACATCCCTCCCGGGGCCATCATCCCCAGCATCCTTCCCCAGCGGGTCTGGGTCCCCAGAGCATCCTTCCCTGTGGAAGGATCTCAATCCCTGGAGCATCTTACCCTGGGAGTCTCCCCAGATCACCTATCTCGAGAGCATCGGAGCATCCCTGCAGGAGCCCCTGCACTGGGACATCAGTTCTGGGAAAGGCAGCAGGCCTGGGAAGCTGGGGGCTATGCAGGGGCTGGCACAGGCGGCAGCCCTGCTGCTCACGCACGTTGAGAGAATAATTAAAGTTTAAATACCAGCTTTTTGTCAACGGTGTGGTGGAGAATAATTGAGCATAATTGTTCCCATTGTAGCGGCGGTGGCAGAGCGGGGAGGAGAGCGGTAATGGATGTGCAAATGTCAGCGCGGCGGCAGCTCCTCCCGCCGGCGGCCCGGGCGGGCGGGCGGCGGGGGCCGGGGCGGCGCCGTGGGGCCGGGGAGCGGAACGGGGCCGGGGAGCGGAGCGGGGCCGGGGAGCGGAGCGGGGTTGGGCAGCGGAGCGGGGCCGGGGAGCGGAGCGGGGTCGGGCAGCGGAGCAGGGGCGCGCGCAGCCCCCGCGTCCACGTGCGCCTCTCTCCCGTGCGCGGGCCGGGGTGCGCGGGGGCGAGCGGCGCGGGCCCCGTGCTCGTGCACGTGCTGCCGCACGTGGGGTGCGCGTGTGTGCAAATGTCAGCGCGGCGGCAGCTCCTCCCG